GTCGGTTTTGAAGAGGTCATTTATGAAAGGCAGACGTGGACTTCAGGATTTCAAATCATCAAAGCATAGTAATCCACTAGGTTTTTTTGGCTGCCTTTTCAAATGAATGGTGAATTGTTCTTATAGTGCCCACTTTTTGGCTTTTTCAGTCTTTTCGAGTTCAGATCTTGGAAAATCTCTAGGTACCGAAAATGTTTTACTTAAATAATACTCCCGGTTCTCGAGAACCACCTCAGAACTTTTGTTCCGTTTCACTGTAACTGGAATACTTCTATATTTATTGCTGCCGAAACCGAATATTCACTAGTAATACCATAAAGTTCTGATTCTAGCCAAACCCTGACAGTGAATCGAAGAGTTGAGAGTATAAGCATTTTAGTCTTTTGCTTCAAGATTTATTCAGCCTTATTTGGATTGTGGGATTTGATACCAAGAGACAAGACATTCGTTTAGAATCTGTTAAGTTAGGTATTTTACAAGTCGTATATAAATCTTTCTAGATCTTTCGGGAAAAAGATGAATTTTGTTCAAGTCATTAGATACTTATAAAACCCAAGAATGTAATATGTCATAAAGACTACTTGTGATAAAAAACGCATTCTAAGCTGTATGTTTTTTTATCTTATTCTGAAGGGAATTGGTTGCATTCAGCTGCAATAACGTATATTTTGAGTTCCTGTTGTCTGAGGTAAAAATATTACCTATTATAGCTGTGCTGTAATTCATGTATAGGGCGAATAATGTTCATAATAGTTATTTAAATATCTATAAACTTGGAGAGTAACCTATATTTCATTGAATTCATTTATGTATTCTCCTCATTGATTTAGTAAATACTTCTACAACACTGGGTCTAGTTTTATTTCTAAATCATAGATTTATAAAATATCTGAAACCAATAAAATATTTGGAGTTGGATATGTTTTAAAGTAACTCCATAAATTGTAGGAACATGAAAAGTTTCATATTTAAATCAGCTGTTAAGTGCTTATAACTCAATAATTAATTTACCGTTCTGATACGAAATTATAAGCTTGCTGCTAATACTGTTGATTTTATAATCCTATTCCAAGTGGAAGATGATTATAGAGTACTGATCAATACCTAAATTCATATGATCTTCTTGGACTATCAACCATATAATATTACTTCTCATAAAGCATATGTACAGCAGCAGCTGTAAGTAACCTAAATCTTAAGAGTATATTAAAATTATTAAGATAAGGAAATGATGTATAGAAATTGTGGATGTTTTGGAGGAATATCCACGAAAGACATTGAACAATTGATTCAAGAAGATAAAGAGAAAAAAATGAAGCTATGTCAGTTAGTATCAATACTCCTTAGTTTGACGAGCAAAAACTTTCTGGAGGCATGATGAGAAGTAGATAGAAGTCAAGTAGGATAATTCGGTGATTAAATAAGAAAACAACTCAATAGAACTTTTTGATTGATGTGAAAACAGTGAAAATTTAAGAAGTGCGGGTGTGGGACGCATTATTTAAGATATAATGGTGATTGGTAGGCCATTGGTGGATGGAAGAAAAATGGTTGATAGCAATAGTTCCTGAAACTGGAATCGATAAGTTTTTCGATGAAAGCTTTCTTGGTTTAAATCTCAAGTCGCATCTCCATTATATCCTACGTTTCTATGAGCATTAGCTGCTAGAAAAGTGTTTGAAACATCTTGAAAACTTTGGAATCATTTAGTTTTTTGGAAATAAATATATTTGGTAATATAAATATATGTCAAATGAGCCTAACAGTGATTTGCCCTGGTATGGTTAAATGTCTAGCTAATGCTCAATCCTAGAAACAATATAGCATTAGGCTCTTCTCCACCCTACTGTTATTTCATTTAATGATAGTTTTATCGCCATTTTCTTCAAATGACTACAGGCAATTTTCAGAGTGTATTGAACTAAAAAGTAGTGATTGTCTGGATTCTTGCACAAATTATATATTAGCACGGGTTTGTACCTGTATCATCAAGTGTCTTAGGTAGAGACTTTACCGCCAAGTTATTCAGGCTGCAAAAAATCTCTTATGGGAAAGACTAAACCAGTCCGTATTTAATTTGCCCGGAATTATTTTGTTTCAAGCGCTTAAACATGAATGAATGTAATGTTGTATTGAATTTTGCATTTTTTGCATAAATCTTTCTCTATCTTTTTTTAGTATCTAAATTACATATTGTCAAGTAAATGAAATCCAAAACCTTGATAATCATTAAGTGGTTTTTGACAAAGCTTTGAAAAATCTATTCTGAAATTTCACCGTCAAAGTGGACATTGAATTTGGAAACACTTTCATTGTTCGTTGTAGTTATATTGCCCCACTTATGATATCAAACGAAGTTGGAAGTCAGTATAGCATGCCATGATGCAATGTAATGTTAATTTCTAAACAAAAACAGTCTAATTGCTTTCTTCTAATCAAGCTGTTTTGTTAGTGGATGACATTGGTCTTGAAACAGAATACAGGAGAGTGTAGGTATGAAAAACGGAGACAGGGGAATAACCTTCCTGTAGAATCATCAGTTTGTTAATTCAAAAACCAACGATATATGAATTCAAAACAACAAGGTCGACAACTGATGACAATAAACTTTAAAAATATCCCAGAAAACAGAGGGGAAAAACACATGTCAGGAAGGGAAGTAGATGAGAATAGACACTAGTTCCTTCCTATGCTTGTTGTTGTTATTCCTCTCTGCCTTTTAGTCATTGTTTTACCTGATGTAATATTTATTTAGCCTGGGAATGTGGTCCATAGATAATTAAGGTCATTGATAGAGATATAATCGGAAAAAAAGATAGGGAGGAAAGGTAATCTTTTATATAACTGTAACGTGTAAAACGAAGGGTCATTATTGCCTAGAGGTTATGTTTTTTTCAATAGATAACATAATGTGAAATTTTGAAAATAAATAGAAAGGAAATTAAAAATTGAATCGATTATTATGTTGATAACTGAAACCACTGTTAAAAGAATGCCACCTAGGTATTGTAGTAGAAATAAAAGCTCATAGATTGAATGAAGCGTATAGTTCAGGTAATTGTTTTTTGAACAAACGTTAAAAACTAAATTTTGTTGGCTATAATGTGGTTATGAGAAATAAATCGTGCCTAAATAATCATCCAATGAACATTACCATTAAGGAATAACCTTCAGCCTCTAAAACATGCTTTGACTGATATGATTAGTAATCTGAAGCTCACTGAACTCATCATACAGGACCTCTTTTCTTTGTTCTAGCGTAGTTTAATATTCTTTCAGAGCACCGAGATGATAACATAAACTTCAAGCTCGAAATAGATTGTTTTCATAAGTTGATGAGTAAAACAAATGACATTGAAAACCTTGGGGTGTTAAAACCAAGTGAAGTGACTCATATGCTGATGAAAAACTTGTCTATGGTGGATTTCAGTTTATTTTATATTTGTATTCAGCAGGTTTAGTTACACCAAGTTTCCACTAACTAATATTGTGTAATTTTAATATCCTGTTCTGCTAATACGCATTCGATTTAAAGTTTGTCAGGTTTTCTAGGAATCATTAGTTTAAAGTCAGAATTCAGTCCTCCAACCAAGTTAAATGATGGATAGTAATTAATCCTGACTAATAAGGCATTGAAACAAGAATCTAATGGTTTCTTCTTCAAATCCATAATAGCCTTGTATTCCTTTTTCTCCCTGAAAGCCACAGTAAGCTCGCTCATTGTGAGAAATTCTTATGGTGTAAGTAGGATTTCCTAGATGCATCAAGGGAGCCCAAAAAAGTATTTTGACAATGAATCATAATACTCTGAAATTTCTAGAAAAGACACCCTACTTGTATATACAACATTAGCTGAGAAGACAAAACCAACAGGGAATAACTTTCTAGAAAGGCCCAAAAATAACTAAGGCCATTGTAAATACATATGTGCGTATATTTATCATTTTATTTTAGACATACGTCTGAAGCTGGAATACACCTATTGTTTTACGACCTTTTCTATTTTCCAAGGAAGTAAGCAACGATCAAATTTATTCTTTAAATATTTTTCCATATACTTCAACTCCAACCATGGACCAAATTCTCATTTCATCTTCGATCACTGTCCAGTATCAACAGAAACCTCAGATAGCCAAAATGATAATTTCAGTATTTATCAGAAACTGCAGTTACAGTTGAATATCTTTAAAGCGAGCAAATGAAGATAGCCGGTAAAAGAGATAAGACTTCAGTAAACTGATAACGGATAAAAATTAAATAACTGATGATATTTCCTAGCTTAAAACCACTTTAATAACAGTTTGGAAGATTTGTAAAGATAGGTTTACGTAGATGAAAGCAAGACTGTCACAGATGAAATATTTTAAACTATTTAAAAACTTTTTACGAGGCAAACCTTTATAATCATTATATTTCTTGACAAAGGTTGACGTTAGGTAAGCATTTACAGAATAAAAGAATGATTTGAACTGATTTTAGTCGAGTAAATTTTAGGTCTGAACTTTTGTCTGTCAGCGGCATTAAGTTATAATCCCAGCAAATAGATTTCAAGTTAGCATACTATTGCATCCATCTTAGTGACCGCTAAATATTATACAGAAACTGATATATATATATATATATATATATATATATATATATATATATATATATATATATATATATTACTGCCACTATTGTCAGTCATATTTAGGTGAAAAGAAGAACTACTTGCGCGTTCAGAAGTGATTTCATTTTTTTGGCGTTATTAATTATAATATTTCCCCTAGGGCTTGAACACTTAGTTCAAGGTGATTATAAACACAAAACTTCATTAGAGAATGATGAAAACATTAATCGCTTGTTATTTGGTAAAGGCAGAGTATTGAACTTCACGAGTATTGTATAAATCGTTACTGAGTAAAACCGATAGTGAACGTTGTGAAGAGGAGGTATTTATTTATGGTCAATTTCATTCGTAACAAATTAAACAAACGGTAGTAAAATAAACAAATGTTTACTTTTAGTCTCTCTTGTTCTTGATCATTAAGATGAATTTCAGTATTCAGTTCACCTTTCCAATGGCTTATTTCTTCTGCTCTTTCACCTAATCAAAATATTCACGATAATAATAATAACAATAGCAAGATGATTGTCACATGTAAAAGCACATAAACCAGTTGATATGTCTATCAGTACAATTTTAAAAGAAGTGAAAGCCACGAGTTTCCAAACATATTTCACTTATTTGGAAACATATGAGGACATAGTTTGGTCGCATTTAAAATATGATCACACGTTTGCATGATAATTTTATGTTTTGACTAATTGGTTCTAAGAAACCTAACTATGCACTATTTGATGACCAAATTTTCAAAACTAGTTTTGTTATTTCTGTCCAGGTCTAAAAATAAAATCTATTGAGTGAGTATCCTTAAATTTATCGAGGTCTTGGCTATTAGGAAGTTTAAACTACCTTTATATGTTCAGAAACAATGTGTTGCCACACTAAACCTTCTTTGGTGAATTTGGCTTTTGAAGCAAGATTCATGTACCAGTATTACTATTAGTAGCGTTGTTTCGGTCTGTAGATTTTAATTGTGACGTTGACGCTTAATTCAGTCTTCCTACTTCACTCCTTTCCATATTCTCATCCTCTATATATATTTAAAGCCTTTCATAACTATGACAAGTACATGTGTATTCAAATCTTTTGAAATTTAAGACCCCATTACATTACATGTTCGAGAAAAGTTACATATACGTATCACTTTGCTGTACTTTACAAATGGAACTTGTAGTTTCAAATTTGTAAATATGAAAGCTGAACATCCCCAATATATGATGCACGCGATTAAGGTTATTCAAAATAAAATTTTTGGCTACAGTTTAAGATTCCGCACAGTGTTTGTTCCCTTAAAATAATTCTGGAACACACCTAGGCTTCTTTATAGAATAATTTACTGGTAGTGTAGTATCTGATAACTCTGGGATTTGCATTAAAAGCACTTTCATGCCACTAAAGCTGATTACGTCATATTTCCAAGACTTCATGTCATAATGCATTTAGATTTCAATTTATTTCACTTACCCTACCAATAATGAGTATTGTGAAAGCAAGTTATTGATAATAGACCATAATTTCAAAGTACTAAACCGAAGCATCTTGAATTCATTTATTTTCTTAAAGGTAAGACAAACTATTTAGGGAACTTTCCAAATAAGTATAGTGGATTTCGCTTTGTTGAATCTACATTACTGTAATTTTATATAAGGTTATTCATTATCAAAACAATTGATAAAGTTTTAATGGAAACTCCGAGAGGGTGCTCTGCAGTTTCATCTGAAATACATCACTGAGTACCATTAAACCAAAAATGGATACAAAAGTGCCACCCAAACCATGCTCTGACCATATATATATATATATATATATATATATATATATATATATATATAATATTATTATTTGTCGCTTGGGTTCCTAGTGGAACATAAGGCTTCAGTAGCACATTTCCATTCCACTCTGTCCTCTGAAATTTTTTGAACCTAATTCCACGACAGCCGAGAGGTTCTTATATCTTCCTCGCACTATCTCCTCCATGTCACCCTCGTTCAGACGCCCAGCTTATCGCTTCCTATCGGAGTTCCACTCGAGCAACTGGCCTGACGCGTGATGTCCCCAGTCGGCCTTCTTACTGTATGGTGATAGGTTCTTGGTTGGTTCTTTATCATCCAGAGTTTATTCTTTCTGGCCATTTAATCTTCAGTAACCAGCCAGCGTGGGCAGTTGTTGATGAATGTCTGTAGTTTGTCAGGAATGCCTTTTGTAACTCGCCAAGTCTCTGAGCCATACAGAAGCCCTGACTTGACGTCGATTTTGAAAATCCGCATCTTGTTCCAGATGCTGAGTGCAGAATATCTTCGCACTGGTTTCAGGTTAATGAACATTTATCTTGCTTTTCCGATCCTGACTGGCTTTGACGTCCTCGTCTGTGCTGCCTGTCGTTGAAACAGTGCTGTCTAGATAGGTGAAGGAAGCTACTTCTTTTAAGTTCCTCCCGTTGATGGTGATTGGTGTTACTTGTCGATCCTGTTGTTGGTTGGGTATCTTCAACACCTCTGTCTTCTCTACATCCACCTGAAATCCCGTCTTCGTTGCCTCTTCTATCAACTTCTTAGTTTTTGCCTATAGATCTTCGAGTTTGTGTGACAAGACATTAGACACAAATCATCGGCGAAATCTAAGTCTTCTAGGTTCTTTTCCACGGTCCAGCCAGTGTATCCCCCTCTTCCCGCTCCTCATTGTTTGCTGCATGATCCAGTCCACTACAATTAGGAATATCATGGGTGATAGTAGGCGGACTTGCTTTACTCTTGTCTTCACTTCAAAAGCATCACTGAGCTTTGTCATATATATATATATATATATATATATATGTATATATATATGTATATATATATATGCCGTTTTTATTATCAAGACATCTCATTTATGGGGATGAGATGAACTAGTCAGGCTGAGAGAAGTCAGTGTTGATTCATCCACCAACAGTAACGCCAGTAATCTGTATAGATCCCTCTCCAGGAACTAGTTGTACTTAGACTTGACGAAGCTGGGAGTTATTAAATCCAACCTTTTAATATATGGTGGATACTGAAACGGTATTCTTTCCGAACTCTTATGAGAGTTGGTATTCCTCATGAAAGTATTTAGACGGCATAACCAGAAGATAAATTTTATCTGAACAATGTGATGTATATGCACACCGAACCTCGAAAAATTTGATCACATATTGACTTGTCAAGTCAATTTATTCAAAAGTGTAGAATAGGAGGACAAATAGAGCAATTAGTGTAATAGGAGATTAAAACTAAGGAGGATGAGAACAGAGAGGAATAGTGGCAAAGTCAATCCGAATCTTGGTGAAGAATCACAGTTTACCAAGGTAGGTGTAGCGTAGGGACGGATTGTTTTTATACACAAAGGTAGTTTCGATTTGCGTTTGGCTATCGCTTCCACAACCCTCAGAATGCGTATCTGAATGTTTCTATATAAAACTTTGGACATTCTTTTTTTGACCAGTTTCCATTACATGTTTAGCTATAGATGAAGAGAATTGTCTTCTAATTGTGCTTATCAAAGTTGATCGCCTCATCTATTTTTGAAGCCATTTGGGTATATATTTTCCACCCTTAGATGCATTGCTCATTTACTCATCCCTTTGTATGTGTGGACACCCACACTTGTCAACTGGTATTTATACAGAAACATTCAGATACGCATTCTGAGGGTTGTGGAAGCGATAGCCAAACGCAAATCGAAACTACCTTTGTGTATAAAAACAATCCGTCCCTACGCTACACCTACCTTGGTAAACTGTGATTCTTCACCAAGATTCGGATTGACTTTGCCACTATTCCTCTCTGTTCTCATCCTCCTTAGTTTTAATCTCCTATTACACTAATTGCTCTATTTGTCCTCCTATTCTACACTTTTGAATAAATTGACTTGACAAGTCAATATGTGATCAAATTTTTCGAGGTTCGGTGTGCATATACATCATATTGTTCAGGTAAAATTTGTCTTCCGACTACATTTAAACCCATAAAAGAAACAAACTGTTTCAAATCTTATGAAAGTCGTAAACCGTATATAAAACGTTCTGAATGTAACACGTTCTTGAAGAAGTTTTCAAGTTAGAGAAATTTACTGTATAAACGGATCTTAGTTGTTTTCTTGTTGTTAGTGGTTATTAGTAAAATCCATCATCGAAGCACAAATGATGATTAACTTTGAAATAAATAAAGTAAGGACACCATATGGTGCAAATCATCTAAGTGTACCACGATTAACTTCATTTTTCCGAAACGTTTATGCAAGAAACCTTAGAATGACATTTTACAATTGTGACATTTTAGTGAGTAATTACTGACAAATACATAAAATAGCTAAATTGAAATAATCTTACGTAATTTATTTGTTACTTCAGCCTGCCTATTCCTAGTTTGCCTGTTAACCTGTTGAATTTTTTGACATGACTGTAAACGTAAATCTTCTGCTTCAGCTCGTTCATGAGCAGCGTTTTCGACAGCAGCTTTATTAACTAAATTCCACATTGTTTCACTATGTCGAGGATAGATACATTTTCTGGTAGAAAAAGAGAGGAAATGACGAAAAAAATTCTTAATAAATTTATGTTCACTACAACGACTACTACTTTAAGTGCGTTAGCATCTGGTGTTTTGGACAGGCAAATTTCTGAGAGAAACAGAAATTTATTTGACAAATATGGGTTGGTTGTAATAAAACATCCTGATCATATATCTATTATATGTAATTTACTGCGAATAAAAAACATACCAGTAATTCAATTTATTAGTCTATAAATATCATTAAATTAGGTAAATACTTCTGAAGATGGTTTGTTGTATATTTGTAATTAGTTTTGACCAACCGTCATGGCTTTGTAAGATGTGCAAATCTGTTAGATGAGTCATCAAAAGAGGTAATAAACAATATTTTGTTGAAATGATAAGTTATCAGTAGGATTTCTAGTATTCAGTTATATTTCTGTCATTTTTCACAAGTTGGCGTACATAAGAATAGCATCGTCGTCTATACATTTGTGCGTGTATGCGTTGTGGAACATAGTATACTGTGATTACGGTTAAGAGACGGAATTTTATCTGAAAATGGTATTTACATCTTAATTAGGTAACGAGTCTTTGGAGTGATCATTGTACACAAGTAAGTTGTCGCACTGCGATAAAAGAACTAGTTGATTAAAGTATGCAGGTTGGTTAAAAAACCTTACATACTAATTAGTCGTTAGCAGGTAACTAAACAAACTTCCAAATTCTAAGTGTTGATTGAAGCCAATTGATGTGATAATCGAATCCCGTTAGTATTACATCAAAGTCTAACTCATGAATTCAAAGGAGTACGAGACCCCAACCGAATGACTACCGTTTGTTGAAACCAGAATGACGAGTCATATGATGATTGATCAGCGATATGGGCAAAATATCTTCCTTCTCGTTTTCAAATACTGAATCGGAGGTTTAAATTAGTCTTGTGAGTGATCAGTTACTATTCCATCAATCTTGAACTGGGTCCACTTGGGTTTTCGGGGAGGTAGTTTGCTGTTTTTATGCGATCGACTACATAAAATTGGTCTGTTGTCTACTCGAAGGCTATATTAAAGCCTTTATTAATGTGTAGTATGTAGAGCCAGTCCCCTTTCTTATATATGAATAATTTGAATTCAGTAGATTTTAATGATGAATGACTTGCTACATAAAGTGTATTACACATTCAAACTAATTGAATTCGTTACCTTTGGTGGTTACCTAAGAAGATCAGTTGTGATCAAATGAACGTATTCTAGGATGTTTACTTGGAACAGATGTTAAAGTGGACACAGTCACACAGTCTATTCTTCTGGTTCATTCCTTTTATTAGGAAAAACTAAATCTCCTTTATATCATATACATTCATACTGATAATTTTATAGTGCATTTAGATGACAGGTGATTCACAACATAGTTAGTGGTATTTAACTGCATGCAAAGCAATTCTGAACTCTTTCATTCGTTGTTTTTAGATCATAAACTTCAATTTAAGGGCCACCCAATTAAACACTGTTCTGTTGTTTGATTTATTTAATCATCTATTAACTCATAGTATGTTATTATAAGTAGTATCACTAACTTCAGTATTGGAGAAGGCTGTCGGTCACAGAGTTTTGCAAACCAAAATTAACGTAGGATAGGTCGTAGGCTTCGAAAAACTCATTCATCAAAAGAGTCTGTAAAACGTAACCTACCTAAATATAAAATTTTTTGTCACAGTAACCAACAATACCATTTCACACCATTAATATGGTATGTTCCAGTGACAAATTGAAGGTAGAGTTGAGAATAGTTGAAAGATGCTCACGGGACAATGAATTTCTACAAGCATTATTCAGCAGACATGGAGAAGCAGAAGACAGAAGGTCGAACAAAGTTATGGTCATCAAAAAACCTGTAAGCATTCATCCCAGATTCAAAGGTGATGAAGTCGAAAAAACTATCAGCAGACCATTGAGAGCACAAACGACTAGAACTTTCCCTGTAACCAAGTTAACTCATGTGTACCAAACAATTTGATATTTAGTTCAGTCAAAGTGAACAAGTACACTTCCTTTGCTATCTCCAAGTGTGCACATCAGTTTATATGTAGCAGAGATATTAGACGCAGAAAAATAAAGCAGTATCTTGAATTTTCTGCTCACATTCGAAAAATCTACGGCTAAGTGGAAGTAACATTCTGAACAGCTGAATTCCTTGGCAACTGACTGTCACTAGACATCAAGTGAACGTCTTCTATTTCTTCAATATAACAAACAAATAAACAGATTCAGTTCTGCTGAAGTCTACAGATGCCACTGCCATCAAACGACTCAAAAACAACTTACTTATCAACAGAAAAGCTGTATTCAACCTCTGTCTACCCTGACAACACTCCTCGACTGTTGATTGATTACACCAGCCTTTATCAACCTTAGCTACTTATTCCCTCACTCGCGTCTAGTTGTCTCATCTTTTCTTCTTATCTAATGTTTTTAGCAAACTGAGTTTAATATCTTGGTTATTCATTGTATGACCTACTAGTGTAGACTTATAATTTAAAGTTCCCTAATACTTTGATCAGTGCTGTTGTTGTTTTTATTCACAAAACATCCAGTGTAATATGTTTTGACGATATTTTACTGTTTATTAAAGTTTCTTGAATTTTCCGTTGTGATTTCCTGATCGTGTATGAGTATTTTTGTGGATGTTAATCACTGACTGATATTCTGTTTCCTATCGATGAATTAAAGTATGTTAAATTTCCAATGAAACTGTATATTTTGGTTTTCTAGATTTTAGCTGGTTGACAAAATACTGTCAAAATGAAAAGAATCCATTGTATCCTGCACATAATATGTTTCTTTCTCTTGACTAGCGATAATTTGCTGAAATCAGAAGTTGCATTTGTTGCTCATAGATGAAAATATGATCTGATGAAGCATAAATATTATGTTAGCATATGCATACATTGTAAAATTATTTTATCAAGTTTTGCGTATACTCAATGAATACCAGTTAAAAAATTGAGCTGGACTGGACTCGTTATCTAGAACTCGTTTTTTAAAAACTAATAAGTCAGGGAAAAAAGACTAATCTTGTTACAGCTGTATATATAACAGCCATATCACTGTTCTAATTCTTAGAATTGACTCTTTCAAAAACATCAAATTTGCCATGCCATTCTTGTAGAAGATGGGCCGCAATAAGTGAGTTTTTAGAACCTGAAGTCATGTAAGATGTCTTTACAATGATGAGACTATAAGCAGTCACAGCATCATCATCAGTTTGACTGATAAAAACAGCAAAGAGAGGTTGGAGGAAAATATTATGGCAAGGAAATTTCATTTTTACCTATAGAACTTCCTATTCAAAAATCTTGTTATATGCCGATATGTGTCTTTAATTTCCTGTTAACAGACGATTCTAGTAATTTGTACCAATAATGCCCATTATTCATTCACTAGTATGCACACTAAATTATTCGTCTACGGATATAAACATTTTCAAAAAGTCATGAAAATCTCTCCGTAAACCTAACACACAGGAGTTCCGTGAGCACATTTGTGATAATCACACTAAGTTGATTGATAGGTGATAGTATACACTGGATGTAGTCAAAAATTAACTTTATATAAAATATCCCCACCATCTGAGGTATTTCGTTTATAAATTTGACGGGGTTAACTTTCTAATTTTAGGCAGTGGAATGAATTTTACTTTACAGCAGTTGATCGGTTTTCGTCATTAAGGCTGGATAACAAAATGTTTCTTAATTATCTACAGTCATTCAATGGTGTTGAAGAATTTTTCGATGTTTTTAGCCTATGATTATGGAAGTCTAAGGTAGAGAAATAGCCAAGGTATTTTTACACAAATTTCATATATTCTGAGAAGTGATAGTCAGCTCAAATTCCTCAGAAAATAAATTACATGATGAAATTAATTTTTGGCCTTCAACAGATACATTTTTCTGATTCTTGCATCGAAATTAATGAAAATGACGAAAGTAGACTTCAGGCATTTAAGATGAACAGCCTAGTACAAGGAAGAAATATTATCCATCTGTAACACATACAGGTGAAGTGAACTGGATGAAGTATTAGTGAAATGTTAAAAATAACTTTTGAGGAGAAAAGCGGAACACGATTTCCTCAGTCCTTAATTACTGAGTTGAGATCTAACTGTTATTATGTTGATATACAAAAATGACATCATACAGGTTAGGATAATTTCTGGATGTAGCAGTAAATTTTGTCATTTCATTCAACTATTTTTCGGAGATTCCAACTGTTTATTGCATCAGGTAAAAAAAAACAACCTTACTAATCAAATTACATGTTTGACATCTAATTAAAATAAAACGGTCCATCTTCATAGGTGATGTTATTTTTTTATCACAGAAACATTGTTGACATATGTGTGTCTACATCATGTTTTAATGAAACAATTTCTCGAGAAACTAACTGTAAACTTCAATCTATCAACTTAGTATGATGAGGAAAACTAAATTAGGAAACTTAATTTTATTCTCATCACTCGATATGACTGAACTGAGCTTGGTCATCTTATTTTCCTTTTCGCCCTTTCGCTTTTTGTCCGCTTGAACTACTATTTCAATTTTTCAATTAATTTCTCTCTCCTCTCTTTTCCTCTTAATAACTATTGTGCATAGAAAGAGCATCCTAGGGACTTAATATTTTTTCACTTATCAATTACATATAAGTCTGGTAGTACTATTCTTATTTCATATTTGTGTCACGTAGTTTCTCTGTGTGTGTGATGTACAAAAAATCATGTTCAAATTTGATGAGGGTATGAATATTTATTATTTTTAAATAGCTTGACACTTATCAGCAAGCGAAGGGACCTTTCGCGAGAAAGAATACATCATCACACGACAAACCAGTTTACATTCATTGTTTTCTTGTTACGGAAGGTGAATGCTTGATGGGTAGAGGTGATAACTGAATATGTTCGTAGCAGAAACCCTTTTAACACTATTAGTTCGTAAAGTAATGTATATAATGCAGAAAAGACTGAAAAGGATATAAGTGTACTTGATTAAGAAAAATGAATGTTGTTCATCTTTCTATAGACTAATTTGTTAGTTACGTGTTTCGAGGAAATGTAATTTGTAAGCTTGATAAGTTTCTGAAATTACAGTATCAGGTTTTTTCCATTAACTGGGTTAAAAAAACTAGTATTGATTACGATTACCTTTTTACTACTTGGAAAATCTTATTGTTTGTCTTAAATGGTCGAGGTAACTTGCAGTGGCAAAATCACCTGTCCCTCAAGGTATTAGAACATGGAGCTTTTGGTAGAATTCCTCGGTGAATTTAAGTCTTCATATGTATTTCTTCCTGTTAAACCATTTTTAAGTTAGAAGAGGATAAATAAGCCTTGTACAAGAGGTGGTTATCGCGCCTCCATGGTCCAGCGGATAGCAATTTTGGATTTGTAGCAACTGGTACGAAGTTCCAGTCTCAGTGGGAACGAAATCCCTCACTGGGGTGCAGGTGCATCCAGCTGATGAGTCTTGAACAGGACAAACGAGCATCCTGGATTCCTCTGTTAGCCACAATCAAGTGAATAATGACAACGAATATTAAGCCAGTATCGAGGCATTAGCACAGAAATCCATATTCCAACAATGTTCAAACAATTTGATCCAGTATAGTAGCGGTAAATTACAAGTTTATCATAAAACGGCAATAAACGCCTTACGTTTCCTTAAAAACTGCAAAAACCATTGTGTTTGGTAGTGACAATGATATGAAGTAATTATTAACAAATCGAAAAACCTCATAGTTGTAATCAGTGTTCTCAGATAATTTTAACGCCAAGTCTGATATTGGAACTTATTTCCACAACTACTTACAAAAGGTTGAGTTAGGGATAGGATGTGTTTGTATTCTAAAGCTCTTTACATTTTTGAAAAGTGGAAGCATTTTCACAATATTTACAAGTGGAAGATTGTGGTTAAGAATATGAAATCTCACAATCAGTTTTTAGAATTAGTCAAGTTAAAATAGTCAAGGAAGTAAATGAAAAGAGGTGGTGCACTAGTATTGCTGCACACTCAAACTCTGAGACCTACAAAAGTCATCACTGAGGTACAGAGATTAAATCACTGTCAAAATGTTTAGAAACACCTGATCATTTATTGCTGCATCTATTCGTTAATAAACAGAAAAAGCAGTGACATACTCAACTTTGCAGTGGTATTATAAAAATTCCATATGATGGCTGAGGTGGGAACTAACCTTGCATAATTATAGTAATTGCTAGGATGTTCTAGCGACTGATATCTGGACAGCTGAACATTACAAGGCCATATTCTCATTAAACCACGAGAAAGTTCATTGTTTTTATTTAATGACGTTGAGATGCTACATGAACTCTTACTTCTGACTATTGGTGATGGAGTAAAATACGAACCAGAAACCATGGTTTCTAAAATAAGAAAAAATAGAACCTTTTTTAAAACAGAAACAACTTTTGTAATTAGATTTTGGCTGATTTCAAATTTGCTCAAACTATATCATAAATCAATGAGAAAATTAGTTATATATTATGTCAAAATTTGAAAGCATAAGATCTCTCAGGAGAGTAGAGAAGAAAGCAACTGGCTTCTATGTTTCTGTTGTTGCGTAGCTGTTGTTTTTTGCTACTGTAAAAATTATATTCTATTAGTAAACTAATCGAGTTTGACCAAACAATCAATCATAATAAAAAGGTCTGATAGAAGGGTCTTCGTCTGTGTCCTTCTAAGGAGAATCGGGACATTGTTGCCTGAAGTTTTCTAATGGTAGGTGAAGGATGATTTTGTAGTCAGTAGAAGAGAGAAAATAATAGAACAAAAAAGTAGGAGTAATTACGAGATTGAAATTTCCTCCTGTTTGCCTTTCTTTTAGGTAATGTCATACAAGACAAAGGTGTTCTTAATTAGAAAAATGTTAAGTAGTAAATAGGTTAATAAGTTATTCTGTCAAGCTTTTTTTCAGTAAATAGTTTGCGTATTTTTCTCAAGAAGGTCCTTTTGTAAAGCATTTGCTTTAGTTGTTAGGCTGTCTTTTAGACAAATTTCAGTTGTAGGCGTTAATAGGGATGAGAAAGGGCTGTTAAATTTTTATCATAGTATGATATGATTTGGTGTAGTTTGAGGTAGTTTAGTATTTATAGATACATACCTTTTGTACATTGTTTTGACTGCGCACTGCCTTACAGTAACAGTTAAGTCTTACCGTGTGTTATTACAACCATTAGGAAAAAATTAGAAAGAGAATAGCAAGTTTGTTTATTACAATTAAGTTATTGCATAAGATTCTCCCTATTTATAAAACTGAACACTGTGTTATTGCTCTGATTGGATTTATCAAATAGCTGGAGTCAAATATTCGATGAGAGAGAGATCGGTGATTAGGATTACAAGTACTGTTGTGCTTATGACATATCTCGTAGCAATTTTCATGGCTTATGCAAGTCAACTGATTGCACAACAATCTGTTTCTATTAGCAACGGACTCGCAGATTAATCTTTCGAAACATTTTTGGAATCAACCAATTCAGAGGTGAGTGAACACGTCCAACGATGACAGTGGGTGATAGTTAGGCTAAATTGTCAACAGGCGAAATTTTAAATTATCAGATTTCAACCTAGTGACTAGTTGGTAACAAACTTACTGAAGACTTGATAACATTAGGGAAGGATTGGTGTGTAGCAGCGGATTTGCGATTCTGTAGAGTTCCAAACTGGAGGCAAATGTGCTTTCACATACATTGCTTCCCCATTAATTTAAAAATACTAGTTGACAGTTTGATAAGTAACAAGATAATTCAATCCATTAGAAACCACAAAATGTATTACAGTTCAGGAGGAATTATACTGTTATTTAGTTGAGACGCCCAGACTGTTTGCTTTAAAATCTTTCTGTCAAAAATGTTGACTAGGATCATTCATAATATGTTCATTGCATTCATGATACAACCTTTTGTTCAATAAACGTTTCAGTTTTCTTTACTGAAGGTCTAGCCAAGTAGTTTTCATAGTGCGAAAGAGCAACGATGCACTAAAAATGATTTCTGGAAAGTGATAAACAAGATTCTGAAATTTAAAAACATTTCCTAATACTTATATGGGATCAACAGTATCCCCTATTGTGGTAGGCATATTTACGGATTTTAGGAACGGATGGCTACTCGAAAAGTACTGTTCGATATGCAGATGTTATGTGCAATATTGAAGTACAAACACATACGTAGTTTCTTCAAACACATAAATTTAGTAGTCGAGGCAATCCAACTGACTTTTGAATTAGAAAACGGTGAAAGGGGATTTAGAAATGTTGATTCTAGAATCAAACGAAAACAAGATGGAATTTTAGACATTAGTGTCTACAGGAAACGTAAACACTCAAATTATCACCTAAACTCCAACTAATCCCACTTTTTGACAGTTACATGGCTTAGTAAAATGTCGAAGTAACGGGGTTAAGAAACTTACTAGTAAAACAGAAGATCTAAGACACGAAACTAGATATATAAGGACACGTCACTCATCAACAGTTACCCTCATAAATAAGTTTATAAGTTGCTTAAGAATCATGAGAAAAATATGACTAACATTAGTAACACAGGTGTTAGCAGTAGTAAGAATAATGTTAATAATAATAGTGGCAATACCGTGAAGGAAGAATCCTAAACCTTTACGGCATTATAATACAAGGTAGGCATCTCTGAGATATTGTGTAGGATTCTCAATAAGGCTGGCTGAGATTAGAGTGCCATTTAAACTTACAAACTCACATAGAAATAAGCTTTGTGGATTAAAAGATCCTACAGATCCGATTAAGCAGAATAATTTAGTTCATCGAGTCGCTCGCAATGATTACGAGGTCAAAGTGATCGGCCAGGGTCAATTAAGCTGTCTGAGCACAAAAACCTAGCTAGATTAAAATTGGTAGATCGTAAAAGAATAAGGAATTTAAGCGAAAGCTCGTCCATAGGTATGCACACAGTTACATACAAACATACAGTAGGTTGGGATAGAGCAAAAATCCCCAAAACTAACCTAGAAAGGTGGAGAAAGAGATTGATAACCGAATTTTTGTTTATCGAATAGGTGCCTAATACGTGCAATAGGAATGATACAATTTGTGTTCCAGACATATGAAAAATCCTTCTACCTGTTTCAAAAAGGAAGTGAGAGAATGAGAACTATATAAACCATGTTTCAAGTTATGGAGCCATCTTGATATGACCGATAACAGTAATCCAGTAAATAATACCGTCCCAATATGTGACACACTGTAAACCAACTAAAATGGAATGGTAGTAGACAGTGTGAATAACTTAGCACATCTGAATTTGTTCAAAATCAACAAGAAGATTTGATGAAAGTCTCTGTAAAGGACGTGCTTTATTTTTTGGAAGGAATGTGCTTTATCCGGCGCCATAACTCCAATACTGATGAAGGAATTTCCAGAATCGCTTATGCAGTAATGACTGAGATTAAGTCCGGTGTTAAGTTCAAGTTCCTACATAGTATGTCCTGAAAAATCGTACGAAAAAGACACAGAAATACTTGAAGAAGGTTAAGCATTTTATAGAACTTGCAATAGTTCAATTCTCTTAGCATAAGAGTTTCCAGGAACAGTTTCACAAAAATGTCAGTAAAATGTGACTCACTTGTAACGAAATAAGACTTTCACGTCCTGGGACCTAAATGTTTCTTCCAGTGAGAGTAATCCTGTGATATCTCATATTTTTCGTTAGAGTTTTAAACCTAATTCTGATAACCATGTGTAAATTATGACGACCGTGGTCGAGTCTTAGAGAAAGTGACCCTTAAAAATCCATAGTTTTGCTAGGAAGATTCAGCAGTCTGACAAACAGTGAAAAATACTCGGAAATGGTTGTTTGATAATTATAGCAGCTTCTCAAACTGTGACATTCAACCTCCAGCTTTCCTCGTTGAAATTTTATGGATTACTGTGTTTATGGTAAACATGAGAAAGAAACCTTTCACACTGATTGTTAGACAAAGCCTAGTTGTGAGATATGTGAGTCACAAACTGGGGCGTTTGTGTGAGATTCAAAAGCTTAACTGAAACTCTAGTGGGTGCTCACTGTGGCTGCTTTAAGTGACTCTATTTGAATCATTTTAGTCGTTATATCGCGATGGTATTTCTTAAATGAATTTGCTATTATACTGAGACACTTTTGTCTATTAGAGGAAAACTGTTAGGTTTATCCAGACAACCGTATTTATATGTGTTACATGTTTTTTTCACATCTGACTTTATTCGGATAGTAGTGACTCCTTGAGAAGTCTTTTGATGTTTGGAATAAAATCTCAATTATGCACCAAAATTTTCCCAAATACTTGTGAATGAAACTGACATTTACGAAATGTGGAAATTTGAATTCCAGCAAATTTTTCAATTCGGAACATCATTAGGCACTTATTTATTCGGTGGCACCGAAACCTGAAACTGAGGATTATTTACTTTTTAATATTTTGGATTTGTCTATTAAGAATAGTATGATCAAATGTAATATAACTTTATAGTAATAACTCACAGTTTATTCATGGACAAGCGATCAAGAAGTGAAAGACCTAAATTTTCTATGAGTTTTGGTTCACTGTTACGGTGTATCTTAAGTTATTGAAACATTCATTTTATTATCTGAATACTCAGAGATGTCTCTTTTATGTTGTCCAAACTACTATGAGTTGCTTGATCTAAGGCAACATATTTATATATGTATGTACAAATATGACTTCTGACAACTGAAATCTGATTGAAGAATACAGTTCAAACAATAGGTAAGGCGATCTGACTTCACTGTGATTTGTACTTAATATGAATATCAACCGGAATGTTGATGAATGATGATGTATGGCAATCTGAAATCAATAAACAAATACCCTGAAATCTTTAAACTGAATAGTGCTAGTGCTCATTAGTGACTAGCTTCGAGAGGTGATTCCCGAAGTTTCAGTGAGAAGTTGTGGCCGGTGGGGCTAACCAAATCGGATACTATAAAGATAGTTACTCAACGACGGCGTAGGATAAAGGTCGTGCTATATCACGAACTGACAGAAGTTGGAAATATGGACCACTGAATTTTGGTCCAGAGGCTCAGTATCAACGTGGTGGCCACGGAACCTGAAGGTTCTGGGTTAGGTCCCTGGTAAGGTCATGTTTGAGTACTGCTGAGTCCCATCTTAGAAAGAAACAAGGGTCCAGTTCTCCAAGTTTTTCAATGTTTCTCCAACCGATTTCACTCCACGATGAATACCAACCTGGAATTTAATATGAATGATTAAAATGTGGGTTTCATACCTGTTATCACTCCACCCTTTTGTGTTTAGCAGAAATAAAAGTTATCGGCGACACATGGTTAGGTTTATGTTTCCTGTTGCTGTAAAATACTTGATCAGTA